GCACACCGGTATCCGTATTGTGCAGCAGATTGATGGGTTGCGCTGTCCTCCCCCACCTTCGTAACCTCGTCGACTGCATCTCGCGCAGTCTCCAGGATGAGCAGCAGAAGGTCCGCACGATGACCGCCCTGGCCCTTGCGGCTCTCGCTGAGGCAGCAGCACCGTACGGTATCGAGTCCTTCGACAATTTGCTCAAGCCGTTGTGGGTCGGTATTCGTCTGCACCGCGGCAAGAGTCTGGCTGCATTCCTGAAGGCAATAGGCTTCATTCTTCCTCTTATGGATCCCGAGTATGTGTCCTACTACATCAAGGAAGTGACCATCATCCTCATTCGCGAATTCCAAACGTCCAACGAGGAGATGAAGAAGATCGTGCTCAAGGTCGTTCAGCAGTGCGCCGCCACCGAGGGTGTCACTCCGCAGTACATCAAGCAGGACATCCTGCCGGACTTCTTCAAGGCGATTCGCTTGATCGCAGGAATTACCGCCAGGTTGTCGAGACTACCGTTGAGCTGGCCCAGAAGTCTGTGGTCGCGGAGATCGTTGGCAGGATTGTCAATGATCTCAAGGACGAGGCCAAGCCGTACCGCAAGATGGTCATGGAGACAATTACGAAGGTCGTTGCCTCGCTCGGCGCGTCCGACATCGACGAAGGCTTGGAAGTTCGACTGGTCAATGGCATCATCTACTCCTTCCAGGAACAGACCACGGAGGATCAGGTCATGCTGGATGGTTTCGGTACTGTAGTGAACGCCCTTGGTACGTGTTTACAATTTGTCTGTCTATTCTCAGTACTAATCTCTTTTTAGGCATTCGTGTCAAGCCGTACCTTACTCAGATCGTGTCTACCATCCTTTGGCGCCTGAACAACAAGAACGCAAAGGTGCGCCAGCAGGCGGCCGACCTGACAACTCGCCTTGCCGTCGTCATCAAGCAGTGTGGTGCGCTGTCCTTCGTCTTCGAACACGTCGGCCCACAATCGGCTTACTACGCAGACTTCCGTCATGACCATGCTGGAGGACGCCCTGACCGACTGTGACCTCGTGCATCGTCGGACCGCCAGCACCATCATCAAGCACTTGGCACTCGGTGTCGCCGGTCTCGGATGCGAAGACTCGATGCTCCACCTCATGAACCTTGTGTGGCCGAACTGCTTCGAAACGTCTCCGCACGTCATCGGCGCGGTCATGGACGCGGTCGAGGCGATGCACGTCACGCTCGGCCCTGGCGTGCTTCTCAGCTATGTTCTCCAGGGGCTGTTCCATCCCGCTAGGAAGGTCCTCGCGCAGGGAGTACTCTGCATTGATGGGCGTGCTCCTGTGACACTGGTGCCCGGTGCTCGCAATGCGTATCCCCTGGTCGCCTGAACCCGTAGTACCTCGACATGGTAGCACTTGCATCTGCTCACCTAATCCGTGTGGAACTAAGCTCGACACGCTAAACAGATGTCCAGTCTGCGCTATTCTAACTCGGCCCTGTCATACACGAGCAAAGCGGCGCGATGCCGTGCATTGCCGAAGCTGAGTGATGTCCCGTGTGATTCTTGTGTGCCATCTGTGCATCATGTGTACATCGTGCGTTCGGAATCTCCGATTGCCTTCGTACTCATTTTGTTTGCGGCGCCATAGTCTTGCCGGTCTGCGCATGTCTGATGACCACACAGAAGGACACGGCCTAAGCTTGTCGAAATGCTCTGCTCCTCATTACGACGGACATTAGTACCTTCGCAGAGAAGATGCGCAAGGCCCATGGGAGAATCAGATGCAGCGATCAGATTGATATGTAGCGTGCACAATTCTCATGGAGCTCTATGTGACATGACAAGGTATGAGATACACGTTATCTATTTTGGCGGAACCACATGACACTATGCCGCATGTCCGCCGCGTGCTTCGAGAAGTCGCTGCGTACTGCAGACTTCGCAGCTTTGCCGCTGGCAGCCTCTCATACCCTCGCACTGCCTACAATGCGGTTCGTACGCACCTCGGCTTCGCTGTCACCTTTGCTACTGACCACCAGTCTAACAACATCCTCGAAGCGCGTTCAGTACAGGCCATGCTTGCTGCAGATTCTCTCAGCCCCTGACTCGGCATGCCACACCTTGTTCTCGGGCTATTCATGCATAGGTGAATCGTGATGAATGTGTTTCGAACTTACGTCTACGCTCCTGGTACATGCAGTAAGCTTGTGTCTCGCAAATCAATTCGGATTAACTGACTATATTGACGAGATTCTTAGATGCTTAATGTCCGCTGGAAACGAAGTTTCATGTACGGAGGACGGTAGTCGGCCCGTCGTCGGCCTATACACAATCGGGTACGGACTGCGTCACTATACTTTGTGCGGGTCGGCGACTCTGAACGCTGCTAGCTAGGCATCTTAGCCCCTCGAGTCTCGAGAGTCAAGACCCTTAAGATGCTCTCGTCTTTCAAATCTCCCCCCACAATCCCCATTGCCCAATCTTTCTTTCAATCATGGCTCAGGCACCTCTCGGTGTCAACCTCTTTCCTCCCGCAACGAGCACACCAGCGGAGCTATTTGCAGCACTCAAGGCGTATCGAGATGTACGTATATGACTTTATATTCTTGCACTGTGCTGAACGGGTATGCATCGTGCCAGGCGTTATCGGCATCGCAGATGCGATGCGACATGATTAGACGCGAGAATGACGTGCTCAAAGACAAGGTCGATCAGCTCGAGCGACAGGTCAAGCTCTTGTCCGAGTCAAACTCCTCGGGCTCTGGTCGTGGCCGCGCCCGCACTCGCAAACTTGGGCGAGCCATGAGTTCCATGGATGCCGATCATGTACTTACCCTGCAGGCATTCGCGCGGCAGTTCACAGTGATGGTTCACCCATGGCTCGACGCTCAGTGGTACCAGATCGATCCAATGTCATTAAGCCTTTCGGCCCTTACTGATGCGAAGGCGGTCGTTGCGAACGCGTTTGTTGGCGCTCGTCTGGATGCTGAGCAACCAGCGACACGTGCAGATTATGCGGATGCTCTGCAAATCCACGTGATGGGTGAATTCTACAGGATGCTGCCTGCCGTGTTCCGTGAGAAGAATCGTGTTCAACTTACAACATTTGCTCAAGTGGTCAGTACTACAGCTGCTCGTCTGTTTTTATTATACTCACCTCAGGTTTTCTCGACAGTTCGGCGAGGCTAGCAGCCAACAGAAGTCCAACAACGTGCACGCCTGCCGCAATGTGGCGCACCGAATCTGGAAGGACGTTGACCAAGATTGGTTCATGAGTAAGAGATCCATGAACGATCCTGTTGTGCGCGCTGTACTCGGACCATATCACGAAAGGAACGGCAAGGGCCGTTTCTCTCGGTTCCCGCCTCTCTTCTATCCGGACCGCAAAAAGGTCGACAACGTCAATCAACTCTTTCTCAATCGGGAGTTGCCTCGGGTGCGTTATATTCTACCAGCTATCGAACAACTTTTACTTAGCGTGTTCTGCGCTAATCTTGTCGAAAGTAGTTACTGTGTTTCATCTTGTTCTCGAACTCCGGTTTATCTGGGAAGAAAGTCACGAAGTCAACAACAGGGAAACTGTGGGGTATAAAGAAGCTCACTCCCGGTGCAATTGCTTATACATTAATACTGGTGAGCCATCTGACCTTCTACTAATACATGTTGAGCTAACGAAGAGTACTTTGTTAGGCGCGACATCTGTTTTCCCCGGACAGTGTCTTCGGCGAGTCTGCCGAGTACATTCCATACATGGCGGACTTCAACATCTACCGGTCACTGCTCGAATGTGAGACGCCGGCGACACAGGAGGTTTTCAAGCTCTGGACGCCGATTGTCTTTGGTGGAACCCCATCGGAGTCTGACCACGAGTATATTGACATTGGCGGCGGCTCAGATGAGCATTCTAGTGCCGAGGACTACGCTCAACATTTCCGCGGAGCTCCCGTGTCACAGAGTATCGCTAACTCCGGGAATGGCAATGCCGACGCGGACATATCCGACGCAGCCCCAGAACACGCCCGCACACCCGGTGTTCAAACTTCGACTGACTCTGCACTCCCTGTCGCGCAGGCGACCACTTCTCTGGCAACCTTGGATTTAGCTTCTGAGCCAGTGCTGACGAGTAGTACGTCTGATTGCCATTGTCAACAAACTCATAGCTACACTAATAATCTACAGTTCCGGGCAGCTCTAATACCGGAGAGCAAGTCCAGGATGCTTCGGGATCCGGCGGCGAAGGTCAGGAAGAAGACATTCCGGTCGCAGTGCCGAGACGGCCCGGGCGGGGACGGGGCCGAGGACGTGGAGCAGCGCATGCTGCACCAGTTATGGAACGGCCTCGGCGAAGTAAACGCACATAGTGAGCTGGTCCGTTAGGTATGCTCGTTCGTGTACACTGGCTTCTCCCACATTGCGGTACGCATCATGTAATACCGCGGTCTCATAGTGATATAGGACTCCCTGGTGGAGTGGTTAGCTGTTAGTTTGTATTATATACTCTGTTGCCGCGGTGATTTGTAATCCTTCGAAAGACGTGGTTCGAATCCTCGAGTAGTCTAGGAATTTCATTTTTATATAACAGGCTGTTAATACAGCGCCCGCTTGCGTCAGACAAATAATGTCTGTTAAGGTGCTCCCATCTTAAAATGCCTTATTATGGGGTGCAGCCATTGTCAGATTCGGCACCGTCTCAAAATGGCTGAAAATGTGGCGTCTGATAAGTCCATGTGGGGCAATTTTTAACGAGCTTTGTGACGCCGCCTGAACCATACTCATAAGGCGTTGTGATGCTCGGTCATTGTAAAGGCTGATAAGGCGCCGCCTGAAAACGCCTTCTGAGGCCTTAGATACCCATGTACTTATGAGAGCCTTACAAGCAGTCGCATTATTAGGACTCGCGTATCTTATTATGGACATCTCCTTATAAGCGCCTCATGTCACCTTTTCAGACACATTCCCGTTGTCCGACATTGAAGCTACTGCAAAGCCGATTTCGGATAGTAGCCGACAACAGCAAAAAGTGGTTCGACCCGGGTTCGAACCGGAGACCTCCTGTGCACACGAATTGTGAGACAGACGTGATAACCAACTACACCATCGAACCGTTAGTGTGGTTTCTCCATAGGCAATACCATGCGCATTCCCTCCAACCCAGTAAGTAGGTCATAAAGCCGTCGGGCATGCGACTAGCAAGTTCATCACACAATTGATACAGCCAGATTAAAAGCATATAGGACGAAAGTCTTTGCTTTACTGTGTACAATCGTTAACAAGGCTGCGCTCCAACAGATCGTCCTCGAAACATTCGCTGAAGACAGCTTCACTGTGAACGAACGCGATGGCGTACGTTGTGTGAGCCTCGGTATCTTCCTCAGGACTGCATCTGAATGTTGATAATGTATCTGGTGGCAGAACTTTCATATTGGGGTCGCGCAAGTTGAGCATTAATCGCGATATCAAAGTACTTGAAATGCTGTACAGAGCTGAGATCACTCATGGCTTCGGGTACAGATCGACAACTTACATGTTAGTCAGAGTGGTACACATTCCCCTCGCAGTTGGCTACATCAAAGGTGAGTGTTGAGGCCTCTTGTTCTTAAACAAACGCATACCACGGCGAGCTGGAAGACATGCGTGTTTAACAGGCAACATCAATCCTCGCAGCACGCGGGACATACCAGGAATGTTAGAATGTTAGCAAGGTTCGCCATTACCATGATACCGTAGTAGAGAGCACCTTCGGAGATGAGAGCGTGTGAATAAATATGGAACTTAAATGACTGCAACATCTTACGCACCATCTCGCAACATGATACGAAATAATGTTCCTTTCCACAGACCTTCGACTTGAATGGCCCTCACAAGTGTCAATACAAACACTAGTGTATCAAAAGCTAGCATGGATGACCACGCGCCCACGAGGTCTATATGGTGCAGAGGCACGTCAAGTAAGAATTTTCGGCCAATTAGAGGGACATACGACGAGCTCTGGCATCTGTGAGCACCGTGGAAACCTCACTGGCTGATGTAACTCACTGGGACAAGGATAAAGACAAATCACACCCTGGCCAGTTCAGTGCTACCTTCGAATCCTCGGTGAAGGTCTTGTCTACAAGTAGGACCCACTTGAACGAGTTGAGCCTACGAAGATAGTTTTATGTCGAAACTCACTATGCTGGCAACGATGCCTGCAGCACAGGTCGCTAACATTAAACAGAGGATTCGGGCGTCCCGGTTATACAGTGCGTATGTACGCAAGAGCAAGAGAGCTGAGGACACATTAGACGTTAGCGTCGACGGGGAAGATTCATTGGAAAGTTCACCTGCAACTACTGCCTGGGTAAAGACCGCATAGTATTGATGGAAAGATTGAAGCTGGCGACATCTGAAAGGATATGTCGTAAATGTCTACGAATGAAATACACTTTTAGGTGGGAAATCTGACCGCTGAAAATGTCTCAGAATTAGGGAAATCGCCGGTCGACCGAGGGGAACGTACAATTTCGGCAATATTCCCGAAATATTCGATAGTGACAGGGATTGGACCAATGAGCGACAAGTAACGATTGATGACAAACAAGATGGAAATGCAGGAAAATGGGCTTTGCTTCCAAAATCGTTCTACCTCCATCGAGAAAGTAGTGAAGTAGTCGTAGTAGAGGACAGCTAGCCGCAGGTAAGTTGACATCTGCCATCGGACAGCTATCATGGTTTCAGACGACTTACTGAAGGACACTATGGCACAGAGCCGAGTTGCTTGTAAGCCCTGAAGCCTATCGTAGAGGATTGATCAGAGCAATGGGGGAGGGAGAATCTATACATACAGGGCGGCTCCTGTAGCAGCGTTAGCAGTCATGGCGCGCTGAACCTCACATGCAACCGCGGACGTAAAGCCTCGCCGTGCTGAGTGACAACGTCGGGCTCATATACTGGCATGAATTGACTGATTGAAATGTCTGTCAAGCGCCCCTCGCAGCCACGTCGTCACGGAGGCTGTTCAGAACTGTTGTCGCCGCAACTCGGCGAAGGACAATCAACTCATCAGTTACGACGTCCGTTACAGTCGTCGTATCTGAGTAACGGGAGGCAGTACTTGCCAAGGAACACAACAACACAGTGACTGATTACTGCACATCTGTTATGTCGGAGTAAGCTCATGAAGTAACCCCCTCGCACCGTGCCTGGGAACATCGACATGCCACCTGTCTGCTTGAGCGCTTGCAGACACATGTCCGAAGGCCGTCGTAGATTCCAGCTACCAAGGTCGTGTCTTGTAGTGTCCTTGTATACGCTGAAAATATTTAGAAGTTTGCAATTGAGAGGTCTTCTGCTTGCGTATAGAACCCCATCATGATCTATTGGGATGTCACTCTGGCCGTCAAACAGCTGACCACTGGACACCGTGTAAATAGATGCAAGCGGGAGTGTACATGCAGATTGGCACAGTTACAGATGAGATGATTGTGGAAAATTGTCCACGTGCGAAGGGCGGGGGGGGGGGGGG